CATTGTGGGCAGCTGCATGTGACCCCTTGGGAGTTCATGGCTGTTTCTGGGGTTTCATCCAGGGTGTTTGCATTTGCGCTGGTTATAATGCCTGCAGCAGGATCCCAAAACATCACAGTCAGAACTGCCTGTACAGCTGCTAACAAGCAAGTTAAACACCGAATAAGAAAAAATGACAAGTACTGTTGTTACACTTACATACTCCCATAGGTGTCGTGAAGCCAAGCTTTCAGTTTATCAGGGAACTGAATTTAAATAGTTTTTTTCAAGGTGCCAAAAAAGGTGGCAGATAAGGATGCCAAGTTACTATAGTAACCATGAGAAAAGTGGTGATTATCAGCAATACCACATAGAAAAGACAGACTGGATTGTCTTTACATTTTACATGTAGCCCATTGCTTAAAAAAATAAGCCCTTTTCTAAAATAAAGAAATACCATGGAAAAATAACTTGAATAGGAAATGCATTGCGCAAAATTATTTTAAAGGATTTTTCAGCCTGTGCAAGCTCGCCATTTGACCCAAAGTTTGGAGCACGTGCCCCTAAACAGAATGCTTTATGGCTGAAGGATATGTGAATAACAAAGCATGACTTTTCATGCTTTCTCACCTAGTAACATGGCCGCAGAGGAGAAAAATCAATATTGATGTCCTACTGTAAGCTCCTTAGGACAGGGTATGTTCTTTGTTTGGCATAATGAAGGTCACACATAGAGACAGCACTTGGGTACAGGTGACAGTGCTGCAAGATCAAAGATTACAAAGTCCTAGGAGGAGTCCATGCTGGTGCTCACATGTACCAGGTTGTCTGGGAGCTGCAACTCAGTGCTGCTGCAGCCCACAGAGATCTAAAGGCTGAAACTTAGTTATTTGTTTGGGCTTTGGAGAAAACCTTGGTAGACGGACCTAAGGCAAAAAGAATGAGAAGTGGGGAGAATCATTCCATTGACATAGAAACACACTGCTCTGGGCTGTGGCTAAGAAATCTTTCAAAGTTTTCTTCTTCCTCCTGAACTATATGAAAGCTGGTTAATGGTTTTTAGCAAGTGAAAACAAAGCAGAAATGTCTGTCAAACCTCACATGTGTAAGGAACATAGAAAGGCCTGAGAGACCAATTGATTGACTTGCAATCTGCTGACTCCAGTAGCTCTACCAAGCTAACTTCTTTTCTTCTATATTCAATGCACATCCAAGAAACATTAATGAAGCCTTACTAAAATTTACTGCATTTCAAACTTTCTGTTCCCAAAAATCATAACTGATGTTGGGTCTGCAGAAATAAATCCCTGTAGTTTAATTAAGCTGAAACTTTATGCCCAGACACAGGTCTTTTTACCTATTGGAAAGCACAGTCTAGTGAGAACTATGTGATTCTCATGGACTATAACATCCCACATGACTGCTAGGAGCCAGTTCCTGTGTTCTTCATCACTTGCCATAAATGCTGGCTTTGACAAATTGGCTAAACAAAAAGCATGCTGCGTGCCAGTGGTGCTTTAGTTCTAGGTTCACAGGATGATGATTAAGAAAAACATTGTGAGCAAAACTTACAGTCCTTGTAGCTAAACCTTTCATGACGCTCACATGAGGTGGTGCTCACAGCATTATGGCAATCAATCCCCACGGATGTTGAAGACATAAAGCTGCTAACTAGAACACAAAGGGCAAGGATCCCAAACTGCTGATTTTGAAAAGCAGGACTTAACTATAAATACTACAGTGCTAATGACAGGAAAAGAGAGTGTACCTGGACTTGCCTATATATCTGTCAGGAACAACAGATTCACCCTGAACCTAACGTTGCTACCCACTTGCCTCCTTATCCCATTAAAGGTGGGGATAAGACCGTGGAATCTCCAAGGACTCCCTTTTTCCAAGCTTTGGGTCTCCATTGGTACAGTTTTGTACGTGACCCATTAGTGACTGCCTGCTGTGAAGCCAGGACAAGCATACCTACCCAGACAGGCACTGCCAGACAACCCATTGGACCTTTGCAGACCTATGCCTCATAAACAGAAGACACCCGTTTGCAGCCAGTATTTTTTATTTTCCCCAAAGTAAGCGGTTGTCTCTGTAGCATCAGTGATCCAGTCCAGATTCACAGTGGTGCCCTAGGACATCCAACCACTCCTGTGAGACATGCGGCTATGAAAGGAAAATTAACAGCACATTTTAAATAGCCCTTGCCACAGATACAGGGATGTCACAGGTTAGGGCTGGGCTGGCCACTAACGAATGCCAGACGCTCTCTATTAACTTCTCTCCCCTCCCTGAAGGGGAAAAGAGAGAGAATAAGGGAGAGACACTGATGGGCTGGAAAAGAAAACTAGAACAGCTTTAATGAAACAGTAACAATAAAAGATAACAAAAATAATGAGACACATACAAATATATACAAAACCAGTACTGAACCCAGACCCCTGATGACAATAGGTCACCACTGATGCTGCAGGGCTGGCACTGGACTCGGCAGCAGATGGAACCAGAGGCAGGAGCTGGATTCAGGCACTGGGATCAGGAATCCACAGATTGGGGTCACAGACAGAAGAATGGACAGAGTCCTCCTTGGACGTCGGCCACGAAGAAGAGACCTCGACCCTTGTCATCCCTCAGCTTTGTACCGAATATGACGTATATGGGACGGAATACTTAGCTGGTCGGTGTTGGGTCACCTGTCTGGCTCGCTCCTCCCCGCAGGTGCCACCTTTCATTTGTTATGGCCCCTTTTCACTTTCGGCACCCCAACACAGAGTACAAGGTTTAGCAGTGACCTTGGTTGCTACAGGAGCAAGTACAAGCACGGGCCCTTCTGCTTCCCATTCCTTGGCATTAACTATAAACATCAAGTGCTACCACTGCTAGAAGCAGCCGCTGTCTGGAAAAACATGCTGTTGATTTCAGAAAGTGCAGTTGCTTAGAAGAGACTTAACTGAAAAACAAAATCACTGAACAGAATTAGTTCTGGTTTAGCTCAAACCAGGACAAGGGAGCACGTTCCTGATTACTAAATGATGCTAAAAAGAAAGTGGTTAGATATGCACAAGCATGTACAAGCTAGCATTTGGTTTTTGAAGGTCAAAATTATGATTTAATTGAACTTTTAAACTGATTATGGCATTAGCAAGAAGAGGTACAAATCTTTCTGGGCGAAACAGGCTAAGGCAGGGTAAGTAAATTATCTCAACATAGTATTTGTCTTCCTGTGGATTTCACCGCTACTCTTACTCGAATCAATTTGTGATGATATGTTTGTATCTGTCACAGAAGCCAAATACACAATCTGATCTTATGCCAAGCCACTATTAACAACTGCATTTTCAATTGATTCTAGGATATTCATTAACTGGGATCCATAATTACATAAAATTTACAGACATATCATTTTAAATCACTTACCAGTGAGCTTACTAAGCTCACTTTATGACATTCAAATACATTATTCTTAAAAATTGACTGAGTAATCAGCCTGCAAATAATTACAGTGGAATAGCACTGGATATAATCAAGCAGAAACTTAGAACAAGAACCACCAGAAATGCCTATAGATCACTTGTGATTTTGACATTCTCTTCAGCTGTCTCCAGAAACTGTTCTGTACTGAACTAGTGGACTCCAGAGCTGCTCCACTAACTCCATTACAACACAACTCCTTGGACTTCTTGCTTCATGGGCAATCGCTGCCCAACACCTTCTCTTCAATACCAGGCAGCTGATTTTTTAATGATTTATTTACCCTTTGAGAAAGTGTCCTGTTGGTTGCAGGGGACACTAATGGCACGCAGCACCGCACAATGTTGCAGAATCTCCCTTGTTCTGCGGCTGGAAATGTTGGGCACCGCTTGGAGCCAAGTAGCAGCCATGGCAATGCAGAAACATCAGGATCAGGTTAACTGGTTTTTAGAGCAGACAAAGCTTGACATGTCTCCATACACAGTATTTTATTCATTTCGTATAATGATTTCATTTTCAAAGGTCATATATGGTCTGGTTTATACCTATAGTCTTTCTCCATGGTCAATAGGGATTTTTTATGTACCATAGAAAAAAAAATTGCACAGTGATGCAGGCAATTTAAATCTCTAAGTTGGAACTTCAGGATCTTCACTGAAAACTGCACTGAAACTCAGTACAAATAGGTTAAATAAATTACATTCTTTTATTGCAAGGTGTAATGGAAAAATGAACACAAATATGTAAGACCTGCACTCTGAGCAGCAGCTTCCCACATGAATCATACACACACCTTGCCTTACACAAAATAGGGGTCCAGCGTTTGAGTGTTGAAGCAATCACTCTTACTGCTCCTCAGTCCTACGTTAAATTACACAGTAAAGTAGACAGTAACTGGTACTCCCAGAGCCTGCCACATTTACCCTGTTGTGGTCTAGATTTATAAACCGCCCATGCACACACCTTGAAGTGCAAAGCACTGTGCACACTGTGCCACCCTACAGCTTTGACATCATCCCATTACTGTAATGTGCGACAGCAGAGAATTTCTCTAAGATGAGGAAAATACTGCGTTCTCTGGTGACTGAAGGAAGACAGCAAGCTTATGAAATGGAGGCCTTTGAACAACACAAGGTACATCTTAGAGTACATAGAATAAGATAGCTCAGAACCAATTAAAGTTACACAGTAAGCAAGTAATGAAAATATTTTTTTTTATTTGAGTAAAACAGTAATATACAGATACACACCACAAACCTTCTTGATTCAACTTCATTTGTTTCTATATAGAGCCTCTGAATGCTGGAAATAAATTAGACTAACAAATAAATGTCTTGGTCACAAGAAACTTGAGTGATTTTTCCACTGCATTACAACTTAATACAAAACTATAAAAATAAGACACTATTTACAAAATATATTCATTTCCAAAACTATCTGTTAATTCAAGTTTTAAGTTACGTGATAAATCATACAGCTCAGTCACACTTTGCAAACAGTTAAAAGATAAACCTGCTCTGCATACAAAACTATATCCTCTCATGATCTGACTACGCCAATTCATAGTACTCCCCAGAATCTGGATCAAAGTAACAGTTCAGACATGGATCATACAAGAGAGTCAAAACTTCCTCATCTTCAGCACTGAGGTCCTCTTCACCTGTGTCAAAAAGGAAAAAGAATAAATCACTCTTACTCACACAATAACATGGAAATACCTTTCTGTCAGATGTGACAGAATTTTTCTTTAAAGTGTATAATTTTTTTACTTCTGTATTGTTTCTTTCCAGAGAACAACAATTCACATTTTTATTGTATTTCTGAGGACTTGTATTTAGTGAAGGTGAAATGATGTCAGTCAGAGTTTGCTTAACAACTGGACTTTACAAAGTCCAATGGAGCAGTTCACCAGGAGTACCTTTACTGAGAGTGGATCAAAGTATTCCTAAATGGTATTTTTCTCAATGACCTTCTTAAGCAATAATGTTTTAGCACTAACAAAATGTGTACTTAAGGCCTGTAAGAATGAAAGCATTTGAATGTCTGGTATCCAGTATGTCACCTAAATGTTCAGTATAGGTAAATCCATACAAAAGAGCTTTCACTATCAGAGAGGATTTTAGATCTAGCTCGCGTAAAGTTATGTAAAATGCAAGAACGTTTTCAGGTAACAGAAATGAATCCTTAGCCTAAAACACACTGATAAAACCATACAGACTTTTATTAGAGATGTTTTATATATTGTAGCTCCTTTACTAGACCTGTCTTTCATATAAGCTAAACCTAAGTTATATGATCTATAGCTTTTTGATAGGAAATAATTCACACTTGAATGCAATCCGTATCATGAATTTAATCATAAATGTTCATCTTGTTCTCAGACTGCTAATACAAACCAAATGCTTTGTATGCTCTAACACTTCATAATAAGTAATGGCCTGTTATGCTAACGGCAGCAGTTTCACAACGCTCAGAATCTATTTACAGCCAGGACCACACAACGATATACAGGTTATGTTTTCTGGAGACCAGCAAGTAGGTTGGTGCATTTAATGCATACAGAAGTGTGCACTGTACTGTTTTGGAAGAGATTTCATTTCTCTTTCCTCAGTAGCATTAACAAATGCCATCAGAAAGAAACTCTTTTACTGCAACCAAAGGTAAAAAGGTAAAGCTAATTGTTGCCCTCCCTGCTGTGGGAACTTCATCAGGCCCGATAAGCTAAATGAGGTTAACTGAGATATTTCGTTTGGACAGCTCTTGGGAAAAATTACGCAATGCAGAAAGAAGGCATAGAACTGAACGTCTTTCTCTACACTTCTGATCGTAGTACACAAGCAAATGGTATTCACGCCTCACTCCCTCAAGTGGCCTTACATTTTCACCTGCAACGATGTTGTTATTTCCACTGAATTTTTCCTTTTATTATTTTGCTCTTCCCTGCCTATGTTTCTCTTTAAAAGTGACTCTCTTTTCTTCTCTAAGCTTAAATCTCCTTCCCTCTTTACCTTGGAACTGGCCTCTCAGTATAGTCCCTGGTTTGATTTAGGAATAAGAAATGCTTCATCAATCCAGGGCTAAACTGGAACAGTTGCTCTGTCACCCAGTGACCCCTCACCAGCCCAGAAGGGGAATCAGGAAAAGGAGAGCAGACCCGTGGGTTGAAGTGAAAACAGATTTAACGAAGCAGCACTAATACCGACAAAGGCACACACAGTTAGACCCACCCAAATGAACATGCAGCCGTCACAATCAATGGGAGAGCAGTCCTCAGGGGGAGGGAGAAGCCAGAGGAGGAGCAGGAGGGACCCCAGCAGGAACCCCACTCCCCCAGGAGCTTCCCTTCCTCAGCAAACCTTCCCCCTTTACAGTGACCATGACATTATGGGATGGGCTATGCCTGTAGCTCACTCAGGTCAGCTACTCTGGCTGACCCAAAACTGCCAACAGCCTGCCCGGCACGGCTGGGCTGGGGTGCTGTCCCAGCAAACCAGGACATTTTGTCACACAAATAACTAACCTCAAGTCAAGTGATTAAGAAAAAAAAAAGGTTTTTTTCAAAGTGCTGGAGATATATCACAGAACATGACCTATTTAGCATCACTTTCAAAAATGATACTCCAAACCATCTAGTTACCATGGTCCATCAAGAGTTTTTTAAACAAAGATATTCAGGAAAACACATGGATTCTAATGTTCGATGGGTACGATCTAATCTGAGAGGCATGTATTACACTTTGTTTTCACATGTCACCTATTATGTCCAAACATCTGTGTTTCACCTAGGTGTATCTTTTAGGTGAGCAAAACCATGTCAGTTTTCTCTCAGTATAGTGCAAGGACACTCTTTTCCAAGGACTGTACACAATCAGAAAGGGAGGCTTTGAGTTGCTTGAAGATGCTGTGTATTGAAGATACCTCCTCAGTCTGCCAGTCGGGCCCTCCCTACCCACTCCTGTTACAATTACTCCGCTGCTTGTCTGCTACTTTTATAGGGAAGGGTGTTCAGCAGTTCAGAAAAAATCCAAACTGTCCAGTTTGGGGAGGGAAGGTCATGGAACAGCTTTGTTGTTCTCTCTTATTTCCTCCAAGTTCTTGGGGAAATAAAGCTTGACCACTTCAACACTACGGCAGGTTTTTTGAAGTATTTGGAGATAGGAAAGTTTCTATGTGAAGTTACCAAAACTACAAATACCATGCATATATGAGTCAGAATTTAATTTGATTGAATAAAGGCACAAAAATAAAAAGTCAAAATAAAAAGCTATGGTATATTGAGATTTTCTGTTCTCCAGATGTGCAATCACAGACACATGACGTAAAATATTTCAGCATAAAGGAAAATGAGTTTAGGAATGATTCACAAAACAGTTTGGGAATTCTAGGGTGAATAACAGAAGAAACCCAACAAATTCCCAAGTATACTTATTTTTAAAAAACTTTTTAAAGATAATAATACAATTTAAAAAATCTACAAAAATTTCTGCAGAAATTCTGGCTTTACTGCAGCAAGCCTTGGATTTCATAATACTAACATAAAAAAAAATTCTCAGAGACCTATCGCAAATTTATATCCAACATGTCTTTAACTCAAGGATTACTGTCCAATTCTCTTTGGTTTACTTAGGACCCTTAACAAAACATATTATTTGATTCTTCAAAGCAAGGTCCCTTCCTGACAGCAAAATTCTATTTTGCTGTCATAAACAATTCCAAATATACATCTATGAAAACATTCCCAATTTGAGGGGCATAATCTATTTTAGACAGTAAATCATTGAGACATCTTCATCCCTTGGGCTGCCAAAGCACACAGGTCAGATTTATGAGAGTTCATACTGAATTCCCCAGACTTGAAGAAAAATGTAGATATCTACCATGTTTCCTAAGAAACTGGTAAGAAAATAGGGCATTTGAAGAAAACAAGGAATTTGTTTTATTCTATTGTTGTTGACTTTCCAGTTTTAGCTAAGTTCTTTGTCATTCTCTAAGCAAACACCATTAATAAACAAAAACCTGTAACACTTTAGGTGGTGACAACAGTCTTTACTCAGGAAATCAGGCTTAGATTTCATTTAAGGCTAAATCTGAAATTTTTCTTCATAAGAGAAAGTATCGCTTACAGAAGCGTAATTGTGCTTTTGAATAAGATTGTTTGGTCTTTGTGTTCTTTCTTTCATAGGTCTGCCATCCCCACTAGCATAAATTCCTTGTTTTAAACAAGTAAGATACATTTTTTTATGAGTTAATTTGTACTGAGCCAGAACATTAGGAAACTGTAACTGCTAAGTTATTCTTCTATCAGAGGCAAATAATACTGCCTGGAAAACTCTGATAGCTTGAGCTGAGAATAGTAAATAGAAGAACTTGGAACCAAAGTGTAGCAATACAGAAAACTACAAAGAGGCAGCACCACCACTACAGAAACAGCATTTAGAAACATCTTTCTACCTAGGTCCTTTCCAATGTCTTCATAAATTCCTACCTGGAATACTCTGATTTGCTGAAGATTCAGTGTGCTCTACCAGTTGGCTTCCAGGAATGATGGGGGGACTGAACACATTCAACCAGTCCCTGAAAAACACAATCAAAATATCATTCATAAAAGCACAGTTTGGCTTCCTGATTGTTCTAATTCTTTTAATTATTGAAAAAAAAAAATCAAAGGAAATTGCAGGTTGTCAAGCATGATGAAATAAAATCAAGACATGAAATGGATGCCACCAACAGTTTGATGCCAACCCAGTGGTCATGAACTGTGGGACAGCTGATTTGTATTAAATAATTCAATCTTTCCAGTTTAATTTAACTTCAAACTTTTTCAATAGAGGGACAGAATTAGTGATCAGAGCTAAGAATAATACACTAACAGTTTTTTAGTGTTTTTAAGAACACTGGATTAAGTCAGGATGTTATTGTTGATAGTATTGTTGATATTGGAAAAAAGCTTTGTTGGGCAAATACATTATCAACAATTGTTTCTAACAATTTTATTAAAAAATTCGTTATTGAGCATAACATGTAACATGATTTTAGCTACTGGCAAGACTATACTGAGGACTCTTCTCACCACAGCTGTTACATATCTATTTTCCTTCTGTAAAAAAAAACATAAATTGATGGGAACTTTATCATAGAGGAGGGAGTATAGACCTTCTTCACCAATTTAACAGGCAATTTATGTCTCTCCTGAACACGACTTTGTGACAGCTTTTAAAAATTATTTTCATGTTATCATACATTCATGCAAAGTTCAATGTTCATTTCACATACACCACTTCATGATACACAGTCTTTGATTGTTACAGCTCAGAGAAAGGAAAACAGAACAGTTGTTTTTATTGCTGTTGTTACTGCTCTTTATTGCAAAGTGAACTGCAGTTTTTTTCACTCAAAGTCACTCCTATTGTACTATCAATCAGAGAAAGATAGCCCCAGAAGGACACATCTGAGTCAGAAAGTTAAGACATTTCTTATGCAGGTGACCACGTCACGTAATTTTTTTCATATATGAAACTAATCTATGTACACAGATTAGAGTACACAGCTGATGTTTCCTTAAGTCCCCATCTCTCCTCTTCAACAGTAAAGAGCTATTACACATTAAATCTCCCATATAACCCTTAACTAGGCTAAATAATTACAAGTTAACACTTGAACAAAGATTCTGAGGGACCTCAGTAAATCATCTCATTTTGACAGAACCAGATCTATCATTTTGACCAAGCTATTTCACTGCAAGGGAAATGGAAGGGAAAAGGGGTCTTTAAATTCCCTTGTTTGCTTCATGCTGATAGGCATAGTACAGCTCTACAGACTAAATTAAACTCGGTTTCAGCTGATTCAACTTATGTCTCGCCATGGCTGTTCCAACAGCTGGCACAAAAGCATTAGGCTTGCAAACTTGCGCTAGAGGCCAGGGAGATCAGCCAGAGCTGTAGAGGTAACTTCAACATCCACGGCTTTGTCTAGAAGGGACAAATTTTTCCAAAGCTTGACAGATACCTTTACATTGCCAGACTGTAATTGTCTCAACTCAATTGGCCACACCAAGTAAACAGGTAATGTACTTCTACTTTCTGAAAAGCCTTGATGATCACATGTAAGATTTGCTTCTGACAGAGAACTGTGGCAAGGCTCAGTCATGTGTTGTAATTGCTAAAATATGCCAATTGCTTTTTTTTTTATTAGTTTATCTGCTACTTCTGGACTTGTTATTGATTCCACATCATCTCCTGTTGGCATGTACGCATAATCTGGGGTGAATCAGGGGACAACCACCTATCTGTTTGCAGTCAAAAACTAATTTTCTGCCTCAGAAAACAGAACTACTGGTGTAGAAATCCAGCAAGTAGTATAGCAGATTTAAAGGAAGAGATATTGGATTTTCCATCATTTCAATACGTAAAAAACACACTTCAAAATTTTTTTAGACCATCATATTATTTTCACATATATGGCCAACTTCACAACCAATCCTTCTCCTCTTCTGATGTTCAGCTAATGCCAGTGAGAACTGGCACAACTAATCCATGCAGCAATATGCTTGCCTAGACGTCTCATTATTAGCTCTCTCTGTCATTGCTCACCATATTTGCATTCCCCGAATGCAGTCAAAGACTCTTTTTTCACACCAAAAAGCTTCAAAATTTTTTAGGAATAACAGTTAAATACATGCTATGATATCCAGAGGCATGGTAGAATATATTTTCTATTTCTGCCACTTGCACACGTGGTGTGCGCTGCTGCAGAATTAGCCAACATAAGCCTAACACTAGAATCTGCCCATGCTCATAGGATGTGATCAGAGAGCATGCAGCGTTATCACTTACCTGATTCTCTAGAATTGCCCTGAAACACAATGTCAGCAAAGGCAATCTCTTCGAGAAACTTCGGCAATTTCAGAGAAGGTAAGGAAGAACTACTAGCGCTAATCTACATCTCCACTTCCCAAGCTACCCTTTCTTCCAAATTCACTACAGCTTTTTTAAAAGATGGTGATGTTCAAGATCCAGAGAAGAACTAAAATATTTCTGCTAGGAAGGTTGCTGAAGCAGACAGAGGATGGATAGCGCTTGCTTCTAAAGAAAATTATCTCAGTCAGACCAACAAATGTAGTTAGAAAAGTAAAGAAGTTTTAGAGTATATATGCAGTTCTACAGGTCTGGCACAAACTAGAAGTGTTTAAAGATATGTGCTTTTCATATGAAATATGTATCAGAGAATTTCTAAAGAAAATAGTTGGTACCCGGAAAGCATAGAAGATGTTAGTAAGAAGGAAAGAAAGATAAGGCAATTACCTCCAATGGAAAAGAGAGATAATTGATTTAGAGAACATCGAGGGAGCGAGGTAACCATGTGTCATTAAACCAGTATTTCTGTTAAATTAATAGTTCTTTTTACTCAGGAAATTTATGAATTTTAGTTTGAAGTCTCATCTCTGGAAGGTTCTCCTGAAAGAGTAAGTCTCTGAAATCAGAGATGGGATGATTTGTGAGTAGCTGATGAATTTGTCTTTGATTTTGTCCTTCATGTATCGGAGTCAATTCTTGTGTAAAGGAGTTGTTCAGTTTCATCTTTATATTTATTTTGATGTATCTGGTTCAGTAGATTAATTATTACTCTCTGTAGGAGGTGTAAGTGTAAGATCTAGGGATTTTGATGGTTCTAAAGGAAGGCAAGTTTGGATTTTTTTATTTATTTACGATAGAGGCAACAGAGATGTGTTGGCAAGTTTAATATTTCCTATTGAGACAGTGTAGATTCAGTTCATGCTTTTTTCTCTCCATGTCCAAGAAAAACTAATAGTTTTGCTATTCAGATCCCTCCGACCAAGACAAGTAATCAAGACACTACAGTATTAGGGATTCATTGTTGACTTAATATTATTTTTAAGGTTGAAACATTTTACACAATATATATCAAAAACTGGTTTATTAATTCTATAAGATGGTTGGTGCCTAAATCAACTTTTCATAAAATCTTGAAAAAAAAAATTAAAAAAAAAAAATCCCACGCATGATGAAATCTTTTTGGCCTAACTGCAGTAGAGAGTAAATTCAGCAGTTGATTGATGAACTTCTGAAAAGTGGGTTTACAGTGGCAATTCTGATAGATGCTGTAGTCTAGGAGTCAAGACAGACTCTTCCACAATGAAATCTGCAGTTGCTTTTCGGAAGCAACTAAAACACGTGTGTGTGTGAGACAGAGTGGATGAGCTATTAATAAAAAAAAAAAATCCTGAAAAAATTTGTAGACCTCGCCTAAAAGCAGAGCTCAGCCTGGAGGCAACTGGCAATATTCTGAGAAATGCAGACTGTGGCCTGTGCTCCCATTTATTGTGTTTTTATTTGGACCGAAAAAAGAATATGTTGGAGGGGGAACTTCTTTAGGGAGCTAGTTTATCTGCTTAAAACAGAAAAGCTAATCAGACATTCAGACTAATTAAAGACACTCTATTTATGCTATCAATGCCTCCAGCTACAATGAATACAATCAACATGCAATAAACTACCTAGAGGTTTCCTGATAACAATGTGGAATGCTGAGTATTGTCTTTTGACATTGTGAGTTGCATAGTATGAAGGCTCAGAATAGCTTCCACACACATTCAAAGTATCACGCACCTTTAATGCTTTTAGTATGGTTTTGTCCAACAATCTATACAGGAATTAAAAGGAATATTCAAATTATTTGTTCAGCCTGGCAATATACTTAAAAAAATGTAAGGCAAGGGCTATATTATATGAAATTAGGGAATGAAAAAACAGCATCAGTTTTGTATCATTAACACATCAAATTGACAGAATATTAATCATCTGAAGAGTATCAATAAAGAACACAAAAGATTATATTTAACTGCATAAACTACTTAGTAAATCTTTATGAATAACAGAGAACAGGCTTGTGCCTGTGTGATAAAAAGAGAAGCATATTTGCTGAATTATTTTTTACAATGGATAATCTGAGTAACTTTGTGGAGGGCCACAGAATGCCAAAGTATGAATCAAGAATATAAAAATATTTTAAGGAAAAAAGGACCAACTTTTGACATCTTGTGCAACTAAAATCTCACCACATACTTCTGTTGTATCAGTAATACTTAATATCACGTGAAGCAAATTTTGCTGCAAATGCTCCAAGTGAATACGTAACACCTTACCATGATCCACTGAATGCAAAGTGCCAGCTCATATCAAAAGTATGGTTCAGTATAGCCTAAATATTCAACTCAGCTAAGGTGAAAACCTATTTTCCTCATTTGTTTGGATTTTTCATTACATCTATTTAACAAAGGTTGTTAGAGACTAACTCAGTTCTTAGATAAATCAATAAAAAGTCACCTAGCTTTGTAAGAGCCCTCGCTATTCCCTGACACATGTTTTGGAGCATGCATTACTTGTTAGGCAGATCTAAATTTTCAGTTATTTACATATCTGCTGGACTTCATGCATATGTGTAACTTAAATCAGATTACCTATACACACCTATTTGGGTTCTGCCTTGTGATATATTAATGACGTATGCATAATGGGAGGTTTTGGGTTTTTTTTTATAGAAGTATTTCCATAGAA